TGATGTGCTCAGCCTGCTTCAGCTTGTCCATGGCGCATGGGTGCATGGCTGAGGAGCGCGCCGTTGAACGTTCTTGAAGCCGCCTGCTTGCCAGAACCCCAGCGCCTCTGGGTCTGGCAAGCTCTGCAGCAGCACCCATTCTCCTGAGCAACGCCTGCACAGCTGCAGAGAGAATTGGAATCGTGTCAGCAAGAGCTCCGGCGCCTTGCAGACGGCCCGGCCCGCTCCAACGCGCCAAAGGCACCCAAGCTCGTCCACCTTGGGGGCAAGGATAGGCCGAAACGATTCACAGCGGATATCTCAACGAACAAACTCTATCAACTGTTTCTGGTATGACGGGTCACGAAGGACGCCCGGCCCTGGAACAAAGAAATTGATCAAAATTGGGAACCCCTCTTTGCAAACATGCCGCATAGAGAATAGCGCCGCCCTCCAAAAACTTGAAGCTTGCGGCACCACACGGCAGTGCAGCAACCAGCAGCTGGGTGTGGGCCTGCGACTCCAATCGGTTTGGCGCACAGGGAATCAGCGAACATAAATGATATCTGGTATTACCTCGTACCTGCTCAGCCTTCTTTTATGGTTTGCATTTTTCTTTGTTCTTCTGGGGTATTATTCCTTTCCTGCTTTTTGACCCAAGCTGCACTTCTTGCAACGGCTCCCACTGCGGCTCCTTACGGGCGGTGCCGTCGAATTGCCCCAGCATGACTGCCTCAGCTGAGGCACAAAGGTCTGCCGGTGCCTGCGCCGGTCAAAGCAGGTGAAGCGGGAGCGCTTTCTGACCCAAGACGTGATGGAAACGATGTGAAACCATTTTGAGGGTCAAATGAAATGCTGATGCGGGGCTGGCCTGGTCCTGTGGGAAGACCATGGCTCCGGCGCTGCGTAGATCTTCCAGCCTCAAACCAACGAGCAGCAGTTAAAATGGTGGCTAATTATTCTTGGTTCCTATTGGGCATCAATCGCCACGGGTGCAGCCGCGCCTCTGAATGTTGGAGCGGTTCTCCGCATGCAGGCGCTGATTCCTCAGAGGTCAACTTGACAGTTCCTGCGTGGATTCCAGGCACCTTGTTGATTGATGAAAACTTGCTGATGATTACTCCGGACTCCGAATGGCAATTCCTCATCGCTTCTCTAGACTCTAGGTCTCGAGGCCGCATGCTTGCTCGGCACCGGCCGAGCCATGAACTCTGACATGTACAAGCCAAAGACCGTCAGGCACTGAGATTCGGACTCCATCTGCGCCATCCAGAGTTGGCGTCTCACTCTCTCCGTCTGCCAAGTTTTGTTCTTTTTGCAAAAAGTGGCCAAGGTCTTGCGCATACAGCACCATACCCCACCCACCTCATCGGCGAAAACCTCAAAGGCGGCTAGTGCGATGATATTGACACGCAGAAGATCGGCCTACCTTTGTTAGAGCTGCAGAGTCTTCAAGGACAAACTTGTCAGGGAACGGCTCCACGGGAACGTCTGGCAGTAGCGGACTTTGGAGCTTCAATTGTTGTAAGCGGCTTGAAGTGAAGGAGCTTAAAGAGGCTACAAAACTGCCAACATCCTGGCGCAGGTCGACTATGTACTTTTTCAGGGCATGCCGGTGCCAGGATTCTTGGGCTTGTGTGCCAGAAGCAGAGCCTGGCTGCAAGCGGCGCAATCCAGCCCACCAATCTGCGACTGTGAGGTCATCATTTCCACGGACATTGAAAGCTACCGCTGAAGCCCTTGTGAGATAATGCTGTCGAAAAGCTGTGGCGCAGGAGCCCTCGCCAGCAGCCACCAAAGATTCGAGCAACCGTTCAACAATGCCGTGAAACAACAGAGCCGAAGGAAAAGCCCGCAAGACATGCACCCAAGACACCAAGTACGGGGCCCAACTCTTGTCAACAGCATGCTTTCTAATGGTCTGAGGGAAGCCCGCCCGGTACACTTGAATGGTTTCATCGTCCACTTGTTGACGCTTTTGGCGAAGACACGCGCCTATGAAGTGCACAAAATCTGCAACCCTTAGAGCATGTGGAAAAGAGTCGCGCAAAGCAGCATGCTCGGCTGGGTGCCAATCACAGTGGTATTGCGAAACGCAAGGCTCTAAATCCAGACCCATGCAGACTTTAGCGCACTGCTTTGCAGCCTCGAAGACATGCTTGTATGTTGCTTGGCCCTCTTTGTTGACAACTCCAAAAAGCAAAGGGCTAAACGTGGACCAGAAAGCGTGCGTTCCATCCACTGGTCCATAATGTTTGCTCAACACCCCTACGTTTATGAGGGCCCAACCATCTCGCATGAGGTGGAAAGTGCCATCACCGCAGAGTTTCAAGTATGAGGGGTTGGTCAATCGTCCAAGGTAGCGACGAACAAAGCAGGATTGACCAGAACGACAGAAGTACACGCTGGCGAGAGGTCGAACGAAACCACGGCCAACTGATCCGGACTGCCTTCGAGAGAGTGCAGGGAAGGAAGCGAACGAAGCAGTTGCTGCCAATCATATTGGCGCCACATTTGCAGGCTCACTTTTGGCCCTTTCTGACCTTTCTGTTGCTTGTGGTTCTTGCGCCACACTTTCAGGAAATCCAATGACACTGGTGATTTGGTTGTGTTGTCTCTACGATGCGCAACAAATCCACAGCGCACACTCGCGAATGCTGTCGCATGTGTTCTTTCAAAGCGTGTTCTGTCTGGGCAGTCAACGAATTCCACACACACGGACTTTGTCAAAAGCACTGTGCGCATTGCTGGGCGTGTACTGGCGTGACAAGGTGCGCGTAGCAGGAACAAAGAAACACCAAGCGCCTCCAGCCACCAGAGAGCTCAGCACACTTGGTGCAGCTGTTGCACCACAAAAGCACTTTGTATCCGCGCTTGCACGAATACCACTGATGCCGAACGGCTATTCGATGCTCCAGATGGAGAGTGGCTGCCCACTCTTTTTGCGCAGACAGGAATGCCTCTTCCTGTTCCGGCTTCTCTTGCTTCGGCGGCCGACCGACCGATTTGGGCAGCGCGTTGTTAGCTTTAGCTACAGCTGCTGCCTTCGCAGCAGGCTTTGCCTGCGGCGCCCTTACAACTTGACCCTGGCCTCGAGCACCACCTTGCATGGATGGAAACTTGGCTGCGAATGCTCCCCCTACGCTTGCCAGGTTTTTGGAGCGAATTGGCGACAAGACAAAGACGAAGACAGCTCGGCACCCGCACACACTGGCCATATGACTTTGAGAACCTGCACCTTGCATTGGAGGTAAGTCCTCATTCTGCACTGCAGCAGGCCAAGTTCTCGCTGGCACCGAAAGCTCGCACAGGGTCTGGGCAATGCGATCAGTCAGAGGAAAGCGATGAAACTCCAGGCTCCGACCATCACTCGAATTAGGCAGGCGACGGCCTGGGCGAACTTCACCTAGGCCTATGTCTGCCAAGCTTTGCAACAACTTAGTTCTCTCGTCTTGAAAGGCGGCCCCTTTCAACGAAGAAATGCATCTGCCGCGTCGCGACTCCAGCGATTGCTTTTGGGCACTGACTGGTCTCGCGCCCTGCCTGGTTCCTGCGTGTTTCCTTGCGTGCCGCGTTGGCTGCTTTGCCCGATGGAAATGGTGCCGCTTCCCATTGCTGGTGGATTTCGCACGCTGACCTCACAAAGCAAAGCCCTGCGCATGCAATTCAGGAAGTTTTGAAAGCCAATGTCTCTGCAGATGTAGTGGGTCCAGTCACAAGCACACAGCACATTCAGATTGCAGTCTCCGCTTTGCACCGTTGGTACCCACAGGGCCTTTTGATCCTACATAAGCCAGCGAGGTCCTGCTTGTTGTTTTTGCCCGGGCATGATGCTCAGCAATTGTCCTTCGTGGAAGCTGGGCAATGGCTGGATGCGTGCCCCCAGACACACGCAATGTTATATACGCAGAAGCATGCCCATAAAATTGGGCATTATGTGGCTTGCAAACTACATCGCGCTAGTCCATCGTGCCTGCATAGTAGAATTTCGCCGAAGGTTGAAGCTATTTTTGATGCTGTTAATAATTTTCTTTTGATCCTAATAACAATTTCTTTTTGAACCCCATGCCCCAAAACAATGTCAGAAAAGTGGCCGAGGATATGCCAGAGAACAAAAAAACACATTCAAAACAATGTTTCAATACATGCTAGAAGATTTGTCAGACTGAAATGTCATGGTACGGGTCACTCGAAGTAAAGTAATTGTTTTCCTTGTAGGTGAGTCCATATGAGTCCCCTTCTTAGGATTTGAGCACCCAGTTCCGTAAGCAAGTCCAAGTTGACCCTGTAGGAATACGATCCTGCAAAGAAAGTTGAAAGTTGTTAATTCTCTTTTTCATGTCCCCTTGGCGCGACGTGGTGCGCACCGTTGCCATTGACGTCCAAAGGCTTGGGTCTGCGTGGGCTTGGGAGGCCTAAGGGCTGGAGCGGGTGAACCCCACTTGAGGTGTTGGGCATCGTGGGCACTGGACCTTTCTACCTCTCTGGATGTTCTCTTGTGGGCATTGTTTTGGGCATCTTCTCCACTTTGGTCGGACTCTTGTTTTGGAAGATCAATCACCCAATGCGTGCAAAAAGGCCAGGCCATCGAACTTGGTTTGCCAATTTTGGGGGGAGCCCTTGAAGACGTCCTGAAGTGAACCTGAGCTTTTCCCTGAAAGAGATGGTGCCCAAGACGCGAGACTGTGGTTGCCGCAAGACGTCACCCTCTGTGCCAGAGTCCAAACCACCGCCAACCCTCTTTCCACATGAGTTTCGGCTGCGCGCAGAACCGGACTTCTTTGATGAGAAATGGACCTCCATCAGAACCCAACATGTTGTTAAGTTTACTAAGGGCCCTGCTTTCAATGTGGAAGGGACTCATGATGAATCACAGGAACACCGATTCAAGCTGCTACTCACATAGGGTGTGTCTAAACCTTCTGACCCCCACCCTACCGTAGGTGCCTCACCAAGTCTCATTTATTGCCCTTTCCACCGGAGACCCCTCCCCCCACGTGCGTCCGGTGCGTCTGAGTGGCAACTCCAGTGGAGGCACCTGCGTCGGCAACACGCGCAGCGCGAGCGCTGCGGAGCCGAGACGGTGGAGATGAGAAGCGGCCAAGTCTTGCTGGTCAAAGGTCACCAAGGCAGTGAGGACCAGATTTGCCCCTGAATCATCCAACATCTTCGAATGTCTGCCGTCAGGTTTAGTTGTCAGCTTCATCCAAACCAGAAACAATATACAACATCATGCAAATGTGTTGCGCAGCTGGAAGATGGAGACTGGGGTCCTCAGGTCCAAACTCAGGGGTCCTCCTCGTCTACCTGCCAGGACCTGTGAGTTTAGGGTCGCATGGTCGTAGGGGAGCACAACGTCTAAAGAACGAATGGACGAAGGGACGGAGGAGAGGGTCAGCGCCCCTAAGCAGGTAGGCCGATGGCTGGGACTCTGATTGCTAGCAACTGTCGCAAAGGAGAGGGAATGTGCAAGGACAGGTTCATTGGTCATTGGTCCCTTGCGCCTTCACAATCACGAATGAATCAAAAAAGGTGGGATGAAACGATGAAGAATCTTCTTAGAAAGCGTTGGAAAGGCCAGCTTGGGGATGCTTCTAGATCTCAGATTGGGGCACCTCATCAGGTTCAGTTTGGTCCAAAAAGCGCAGAACATCGATGGAACAGGGGTTTCTCATGCGCATGGGACCCTGTTTGCGATGACCCAAATATGTCCTTTCATGTCCTTTCTTCCAGCAAGTCTGAACGCCTTTGCAGGTCTCCCCAGCCAATTGGATATAAAGAGCGACCCAAAAAATTGACTTGGGGGTTGTGGTAGACCTTGGGATTCTGCTGCTTCTGGGTCCTTTTCGGGTCTGTCGCTGACAGTCCAAAACCCGCAGGTGCGGGCGGCGCAGCGGGCCTTGCTGCCAGATCCTGCCCGGGGACAGCTGGACTCCAGCAAGGCAAGAGGTGGTTTTTGAATGCTGTTGAATGGTCATAGAGTCTGCATGAGTCTAACTATCCGGACTTCGTTGAGCAATGCTTCTGTATGAGGAAATCCACTAAATTGAGATCCTTGACCTGTAGTTGTATGTATGTTGTAACCCCAATCAGTGTCATCACCTGCATAAAAATAAGGCTGAGATGTGATGCCCACATGTTTATTGCAACAAACAGGGCTGGTCAATTTGAACGGTCATTCATATTCAGACTCACGTCGTTTCAGGCACAAACTCCCAAAATGAACGGTTGACAACTACATCCTACCAGTGTGCAGTTCAACCCGTATAAAGTCTTAACACCGCATTGGGGCGGGTCAATGTAATTGTAGACTCTTGATTAATAAACCACCCATCCTTCAGATGTGTTTCAATCCCAAGGGGGACAAATGATTCAAGACTCCACTCTCGGAGCTATATACCCTGCACTCTAAGCTATTACCTAGGCATGTCACTTGGACACGGCCCTCGTCCCCGATTCTCCTCTCGCGCTTTGGACGAGCTCCGGAGCCGTGGCAGGGCGGAAGACGTGGGAGACCTGCCACCAGGGGAGACCCTCGTGGCCGGTCAGCCGGAACGGGCCGGAACCCTTGAAACAGTACCAAGGGAGGTGGGTTTAAGTGACCCTGATAGGTAGGGTGTCGTCACCTGGGGTACCGAACTGGGATAGTCGAACTAGCTAGTGTGAGAAGAAAACCTCTGTTGGTGAGGGACCCTTTCAACATGCCGGAACCATGAGATGGTGAACTCTGAGAACCAAACATTGGACCCGAACGAACTGGAGGGTGACCGGACCCTGCAGAACGCAGGGGTTTGGACCCGAACCAAACCTTCACCGAACTGAGAGTCCTTGATTCTTAGGGCAAAAAACATAAAGAACCACGAACGCTTCCTGGATCTTCCTGGTTGGAGGATCATTGGACCACCGAACTCGCCAAGATATTGAACTACTTATCATGAACTATATATTTGGATTTATTTGGAGGGTCGTGGTACATGAAAAAGGTACATTCTACACCACAGAAATCTGTTCTTGGCCACCAACTTGGAGGTCAACCATGTTCTGTTCCATGTTCATCATCTTATCAGTGCGTCAGCGATATGTTTTAAGATCTTTTAAACGGCTAGTTTCTGGCAAATCTTGCTATTGCACTCACATGCAAGCCACAACTGCACTTCTTTGTCTCTGTCAGTTTTCCAAGAGCTTCAATGCAGCAAACCTTTGGTGCCTGCGGTGCAGGTGCTCCACCACAACGAGTGTCGGCCGCTCCACAGTGGAAGAGCGCTCCTCGTTTGGAGCTGTGGCTTTTGGAGCTCGCCTCCTTCTTGGGCGCCAGAAGCGGCGAAAAAGCCGATCTGAGTGGGAAGCAAAGGCTCATGCACACCTTGACGGTCGCTGCCATCTCGAGACTGTGCGGCATGCGCAGCATCTAAGCTTTTCCACGTGCGCGACCGTCGCGGGCGGTCAGCATGGGCTGTCAGAGCCATGCCCGCAACTCAACGAATCAAAGTACAAAACCAATCCGTCACCGGGTCACGAAAACCACTCTCCCAGTCGAAGATAGAAGATAACATGAACCCGAACCGAAGACAACATGGTCTTCTTGCGGTCGTTCCCAGTCAGATGCACCACACCATCATCCTGTGCCACTATCTGCTCGCTATCTCAGCCGTTCGAGCCCTCAGAGCTGGTTTGAGATGTCTGTTTCTATAAGATTTATGATGGTTTAGTGGGACTGACTTGAATCAATCACCCTGATGACTCATGACCTGTTCAAAGAGTTTGAGTGAAGATGCTTCAACATGTGGGCGCGTCTTGGAAAGCCTGCAAGTTTCAAATTGAACAACAACACATACGTTTAAGAACAACAACAAAACACCACCTTTGAACGGTCTGCCGCCGTTTTCTCTTGGTTCGCTTTACAAAGGTGCACCGAAGCGACCGACCAAACCGACGGGCCTTACAGACCCCCGACTCCCTGCGCCAATCGAAGTGGAAGTGAACACCATCTGTTTGGTGCAAAAGGGTCCAAGAGGCCATCCGTATGGCGTTCCACTTGTCACTTCCGACCCTGTTCTGAGCCCTTGACCTTGCTGAGCTCTTTGGCCGTACTCTTTCCGCCACCTTAGTGGGACGTCTCTGCTCTGCAAAGGGCAAAAGAAGCATTGAACTGGGGACAAATGGCTGGACCTTCTCCCACTTCGCCAAACGCCTTATGGTGAAGGGTCGGGATTTCATGTGAAAAGCACTTGCTTGGTCGGCGCAGAAATAAATCACGTCCGTTTGAAGCTACTCTCCACCAATCAGTCTCTTTAGATCACCTCTATAGAAAGGTGGTGATGTGGCATGGCACCACCCAACTTGGGTCGTTGGAACCTCATCCCCCGAAAAAATGCCATGCCAATCCCACGTGGGCGCCTGATTTCACGGAGGTGTTCGTTTCGGCCAAAGATTGCAGCATCTAAACACGAGGACACCTCATCAGATTCCAGGGTCCCCCCAGAACTGGCGGCCTTCGGGATTCAGAACGGTTCCTAGTTTCGTCGACGAATCGCTTGGTCAGGGTGAATTGAATCGAAAAATAGGCATTTCCCTTGCACCCTCAATGTGCTTAAGTTCATTACTCAAAAAACAAGAACACCACAAGACAGTATCTTGCTGTAGCGTTCTTGCTTCGAGTAGCAACAAATGATGGTGGAAGACCAAACAGCGCTGCACAATGAGAGCATGCCTAGTCAAAACTGGTTATTATGCAAGTCTAGCTGGCAAAATCACTGTGCTAGCAGCTGCTAGCAGGTAATGTTTACCCACAGAAAAAGGTGGTAAGAAACATCCATTACCGATTACCAGGGTAACTTAGCAGCGATCTATCATATATCATATTGTATAATAGTTATATCTATACCCAGGGCTTCCACCCACCATTGATTCAATGGCTCTTACCGAATAACATCGAATAACCATTGTTTTGCTAGGACGTTAAATGACAACACCAGGTCAACCGTTTTAAACGGTCTTGGACTCGCATGGTATAAGTCGCACCACTCAGCAAACCAAACTTTCCAACTCCAGAAAAATCGTCGACCCAAACCTGCCTGCAACATCCCCAACAACATCCAACACGCCCATCCCCATCCGCTCTCCCTCCGCTCTCCGACGCCCGTGGTCTCTTTTTGGTCCATCCAACGACGCTCGCCCTTGAGGCGGAGACCGAGAGGACGGAGGTGAGATGAAGGGCCGCGGCGAGGCAAAGCAGGAGGTTTCGCGAGGTGAACGGTTTCCGAAACCGTTTTGGCTGGTTTGGCTGTGGTTTTGGTTGAAGGGGTCACTGTTTCATCGTGTTTTCAATATGTATACGAACGAAGGACACTGCGTACGTCCTTAAAGCCACAAGCCTCGAAAGAGAACGCGCAAGCCGAACGTTGCGTCGCCGACGTCAGGACCAGTCGTAGTCATCGTCGATGCCTGGCCTGGCGAACAGCGTGTCCTCGGCCCCCGATGCTACAGAAGTCCTAAGCCTGTTCTTAATAGTTCATGAAAGTGCTGAAGTAACATGCAATTCTTGAGGAGTGTTGATCATGAAATACCCTTTCCGTGGTGCGTGGGTTAAGGACAACGGAAACAGAAGTTGATATCAGTGTAGCATCCATTCCTTGGAGCAACCCCGCTCTTGAAACTCACGGGCATATATTTAGTTGTGTTAATCAATAGCGGCAAGACATGTCTTGGACAAGTGTATTTATACCTGAAGACGACTACAGTCGACCCTGAAGTCTCGGTTCTTCGGAAAATCGAGACCTCAGGGTCCATGTGAGGGTCGGAGTGTCATGGACTGAACCCCCCGCTCCTGGCCCATATCCTCAGAAGAGGGTATTCGACCCCCCTGGCACCTGTCCACAAAATTACTTTAAAAAAGTATTACTCCAGTATCAAACGCTCAGTGCTGACCCTTTTCAGATGTAGAATACATAAAACGTTGTATAGGGATCCTTGACCTCCTGGTTTCATATACTGGCGAAGCGGAGATTCTCCATGAAGTTCCTACAGGTTTTCCTCTATAATATGTATCCCAAACACTCCATGTGTGGAATACATCCCTCTACTGATCCGTCCAACCGAGTGTCTGGGATGTCTTCGCTCCTTCTTGATAATGTCTCTTTCCACTGCAGCGAGTGGTGCAACCGACATCACCGGCTCCAACCGACCTTCGGCTCCAACATGCTCCAACCGACCACGTGCTGAAGCGGTCCGTGAACGGAACCATGACTCCATGTGCTTCATGGCCTTACAAAAAGTAAAACATGGACTCCGCGTGTCTGCGACAAACATGGGACAACACCAGCTGCCGAAGACGGCTGCCATACATCATGATACATCTCTTTCAAGCTGCTAGATGGACCTGAAACATGCAGAAAGCTAACTGAAGTTTGGCATTTCCTCTTCTAACTTGTCTCTTCCACGATCGATGGTCGTGGTATGTCACCCTGGAGGAGCCAACGGAGCTCGGATCCCACAACAGAAAAAGCGACTGGAACCGAACTTTGTATAAAGGATTATAAAGGAAACATATGGAAAAATAGGGGTCCCCAAATTGCATTTGGTGGACGTAGGGGGACCTTGGTTGCATGTATTTCAAGTGGCCAAAACGTCCACTTCCAAGGTGTTTCTTCCGTTTGATGGGAGGCAAAAAGCCCTTCCAACTTGGCGTCGTCTTCCCGTTCCCATCAAGTCGCACCTCACATCCTGGACCACAGGATAGGCTGACTGCCGTTCAGCGTCCAGCTTGAAAAGGAGGAGCTCTCCTTATGCCCGAAGCATGCGAAGCATGAGCATCAAGTTGTTAAAAGGGTGGCTGGGGATATGTTGGCATTTGACATTTTTTTGGTGAAGATGTGGCATCCAGCTCAACACAAGCACTGGAGAGGCTGAGCCGGGCTCCAAGTACCTTCTTAGAAGGTGTTTGGGGAGGGTGCCAGGAGGGTCCAGTCATACCGAACCTGAGGAGGTACAACTGGAGCCCCTACATATAAGTGTCGTCTCTTGATTAATATCCCTCCCTGTATAAAGAGCTTTAATACATGATCTTACAATTGGGGGGGTGTTAATATATATATTCATTATACTGTTAATATTAATTAATACATAATAATCTATTTTTACACTTAAGATCAAATTAAGAGTCTACATGTCATGACATCATGTCTACGGGGTCAGAGCGATCTCTCACCGGAACGGAACCGGAGAACGTGGTCCTGTCGTCACACACACACGGTCCTCGCATGATAGACCCTAAGGGTCCAGGACCATCCAAATCGGATGTCCTTTGACCCGCCGTTCGACCATTCTCTGGAAGTACTTTCTCACCTCCAAGACCATCCGCAAAGGAGGTACCTATGGGAGAGTCAGTAAGCTATAAGAGCCCATAGCTGAAATCCTCCGTCCCACGCAGAAACAACTTGATTGTTACACGACGATGGCGGGTCCCTAAGCGAGTGGAAAATGGCAACCCCTAACCTCCATTAAGCACCCCTTTGTCAGTGCTGGTAGTAATAAATAATCGTTTAAGATACTGAATGGATGCCAAGTGGGGACGAGGGCAAAACATCCATACCATCCATTCGCTTCTGGTTGAGACTCGAGATGACTGGATCGATGCCAAGTTCAACTGTTCAAATGCGCCTCACCTCTACTGACTACTCATCACCTCGAGCGCAGGGGTTCGAGCCACCTGGGTTTGTGAACCAACCACCCAGCCGCATGGAAACATGCAGCATTAAGAGAGAAGACACCCAGATGTAGGTGCCCAAGGCGAACCCAAAACAACAAGTTTTAGGACCCCGGTTTGGGGTTGGTTATTGGATACCCCTAACCTCTAAGGAACTATCGTTAGACACCCCTAAACGGGGGCCCTAACAACTATGTCGAAGTTTTGGTAGCTTTGAGGACCGAACCCACATTTTTTGAACGTTTTGGGTTGGATATGTCATGAGGAAAAGACATCCCTACAAACAGACGCAGCACCAAATCCATACTGACCCGGCATCGCATTCAACATCGGAAACTATAATAAGTCTTTTTGGGGAACCATGGCTACGCGGGCGCGAGTGCCACACGAATAGCAGGTACCCACCTGCCCAGTTCCTGCCTCTTGACATGGTAACTGAGGCGTTCTGTTCTTGATAATCCAATACAACAAGTATAAAACATGTTGATGCCTTGATGCCATCCCTGTTGAACTGATACTCCAAAGATCTAGGCGTATTTTCTAGCAGATCTATTGCGGCTTGGCATCTAACCCGCATGAAAACGTGGCATCAAAAGAGCTTCACACCAGACCAAACGAAAAAGCGCACGGTTCAGCACGGTCGAATCTCCCGCTGCGCACGACTCCAGTCCAAGCTCCCACCCTAACAGTAACAGGTCCATACTTGGGAAGAATAGAGGAGCCTGTGCCAGGTACCAATTTTCGCTCTTGGTTGTGCACTGGGAGGTATCCCCTCCATTCATCAACCAACCGAAAGTTAAAGGGCCGTGCTCTGTTCCGTCGGTTTCCGCCGTTGCTGCGCCGGGGGGAGCTGGGTGCCCACACGATGGGCGGCACTGGTGGTCACCATCTCGTTGCGCTCGGCGGTCTGCCACGGAGGTGCTTCCGGTGAAGACCCGGTTCCAGGAGGAATGAGACCGGCAAAGGCACAAACATGGACCCCTTTTCAAGCACCTTTTCATGGCCTGGATATAGTTGGTAAATAAGCCAGTTCCATGAAGTGTCTGGGAGATTCTGGGAGAGGAAGGGCGAAGGACATGAAAAATCTCAGAGAGATTATGACTTTGCACAAGATGACCATGCAGTGTTTTCTGATGTACGTCGTTCGCGGCATTTTCTTGCTTATTGGAGTGTGACACGGTTGTGAAACTGAGGCTTAGGTGTGCACAACCAACCCTCTGGATGTGGCACAAAAACACATTGTGCCAATGACTGGACGGACACGGCTGCGATAAAATGCGAAGCGCGGGAAGAATTGCCGTGCTTGACTAAAGACAGCTAACAGTTTGATGGAACAGCTAACAGTTTCAGTACCCAAACACTCCATGTATGCCATATATATATATGCCTACATTGGGATGGTTTTGGGGGTGAATGTAGGCATATATGGCAGTCCCATGGAGTGTCTGGTGTACTTTTGGGCTTTCGGAAAGCCCGTGAGCTCGCTGTTGAAGGACTAAACTCTTTCAAAGCCTTGCCGGTCGTAGACACAGAAAAGTCCTCTCGTGTGAGTCCTCACAGCTAAACACCAACCAAAATCCAGGCTCCGAAACGATGACCAAACATCCCAAACACTCTGTAGAAGTGGCATACTGCATACTTGTATAACTATACATTTCAGTGGCTTCAGGCGTCTGTGTATGGAGAGTCTTGGTATTTCCTGTGGGCTTTTCTTTCACCGGCGGCTTCACGTCTCGTCTTCGCTCGCCTTGATTCGGTCGCCCGACTCAAACTGCAACGAGATGCCTGGACCGAAACTCAGCTCCCGACGACCGGCGTGGCCGGCGACCGGACAGGCATGGATTCACTGGCTAGTTATGCCTACATTCACTGGCTTCATGTAGCATGGCATGGGTGAATGTAGGCATACCTTGTAGGCATATATTCCAGTCCCATGACGAGTGTGTGGGTATATGTGGCCCATGGGTATATACTAATGACAAAAAAACCACGTGTTGCATCCTGTTGCCACGACAACAGCACCGCCAAGTACGGTCAGCAGCCTGCAATGAATGAGGGGAACACATGGGGGGTTCATCCCCGACGAACACCATGGGTCCGGGTGGTGGCTCAAAGGAGCAACTCATTGGTCCGGGATGAGATGACTACCCTATATTCCTTACTAAGCACCGGTCAGATGAACAACACATTCTGTTATATAATTCAGAGTCTGCAACTCCTCCAGTCAAACTGGACTGGAGAAGAGTACCATTTCTGAGCTCGTGGAAGGGGACATGCACATGACAGCCATGCTGAAAATCAGTCCGCATAGGGATTCACATACCTTCTCAGAAGGTATACATTGGACATCATTATGGACTGTACCTCAGAGGGTGGCAGTAGATCCTTCGGGAGTTCTTTTTCTGCAGCAAGTCAGTGGGCTTCAAGAGCACTTCACACGGGTGCTCATATATACCTGGCACCTTCCTGTCTGGGTGTCCTGTTCGACCGGATTGCATCGATCTTAGTAGCTACTAGGCAGGTGACCTGAATTGACCTCAGCCGGTAGACGTCAACGTCCTGTGGACGGCCACCACCCGGACAAACGGCCTCACCACTCGGTCTCTGGGATCGTCGGACGGATCCCAAGCGCATGGTTAGAAGGGCATCCTGACCACCCAGACAACCCTGACCATCCTTGGGACTGGAGTCTAGTTGCATTGGGCTCCTGACCGAAAACGAAAATGACCCAAAACGTATCCAAATGTATCACTAGACCATACTTAATTAGACCACCGAGCCGGATGGTCTGGTAGAGCTGGATGCGACTCGCCGGAGATGCCCGAAAGTCAAGCGAACCGAACGAACTCCATGTGTCTGTCACCTGATCGTTTTTGAGTGTGGTGGAAACCACGGAAACAATCCTCCCCAATCCACTGAGTGGGTCAATTCACCGACAAATAAGCTATTTTGTGGCTGAGATGTCAATCATGTCATGCCTTAATGAGGACACCTGTCAGTCTGTTTAAGAGGACAGTATGAATTTATCACACAACTATAGCAATCATCATAATGATATCAATTCAAACACCTTCAAAGCCAAGTAAACATGTCTCCTAAAAATCTAGGAATCCCAAGATTTCGCGTTGAATGCATGCGTTGAATTCATGCGTTGACACTGCATTGAGCCCTTGGAGCCTGAAGCATTGAGCCGTTCTTGGACGTGATCCACCTGGCTGTCGGCACGTGCGAGATCCAAGACTGGTGACGGTGAACGGCGACTGCGGAGGGCTGGGGATTCCGAGTCCCAGCCATGGGTGTGTGGAAACCAATAGGGAGACCCACTGGGAGACCCCATGAGACCCCAATGAGTTCTAGAGGCTTTTCCTTTTCTTCCAGGGTCTCCCGACGCCTGGACCTGTGAACGACACACCCTCCGTGGCGACCCGGACCCGGACCGTCACCGCGGGAGGGAGGTCTTCGGTTCGGCGCGGACGACCGTCTGAACGCCTTGGCTGTTTGTTTCGGTCCACAGTTCAGTGGAAGGCCTGGTGGATGGGTTGGTGTCCTCTTTTGGAAACCAGGGGCGGAGGGTGGCAAGTCCACTCCGAGCGGTGACTTTTGTTGATCTAAATGCGATTTCCAGTCACTGCACCCAAACGGAGACACGCCACTCCTTCCGTTGCCGAGAGTTCCGTGCAGTTTGCAAGACAAGGGGTGGCCACATTGTTCCTGCTTGATCGGATAGATCTGTATTCTTCATGCTTCTTGTTCCATAGCAAACTCGGCAGGCCAAGGATTTAAGATAGGCCTAAGGAGGCGTGAGTTGTTTCCTGGGGGATGATTATACTCGTGGTACTACTCATGGTGGTCACTGATTGAACAAACAGAACACCGCGTCAGCATGTCCTTTAAACATGCCGGAACCATGAGAATGAGATGGTTAACTCTGATAACCAAACGGACAAACTTCGAGAAAACTTGAAGTGAGTATACATGAAGTGTCAGGGCATCGGGGAAACTTGAGATCAACCGGTACTTCGACAATGTACCACTGCACCAACCTCCTGGTTCTGGGGTGTACAAACCCATGGTGTGTGGGATGCAAGTCAGGATCTCCGGCAGTATGAAAGAAGCTCCCAGAACAACAAAACACCATAGTTCCGGAGTTCCCGAAGCTGTAGATGTTCTCGCCTACAGTCTTTTGCTTTGTGGAAACATTGGACTTGATTTTGTGGGACTTTGTAGATTAGATGTTTCTTATTCATGTTTCATCGTGAACCCAGTGAATTGAATGCGACCAAAGCCTCCCTCGAAAAGCTATTGATTCCAGGAGTCCTTCCAAGCCCTTGCTTCGACGGTCAATCTGTGCCTGCATGTTCAAGAACTTCATCCTCGAGACATACTGCGCAGATCGAACCACCTGCCGCTGAGCGTAGCAAATGAGCTGCACCATGTCTTGTCCTCGCAAAGTGCTGAAAATGGGATGGCCGGGATGGCAGCTCCGTGATTGGCTAGGGACTTAGGGATTCATCGTTCGTGATGGTGTTAGTTCCCCCATATAGTCGTCCATACTAATGTATGTCTGGGGATGGAGGCCATCGCTATTAGGTTGGAGGGATGGTGATCACCTTCAAAAAGCACGTGTCAAGACCTTTTGCAAAGAGCAACCGTCACGTGACTTGCTGGGCGTCTCGCAGCTCATCAGAGTCCATAGGGACTCATGTTACCCCGGCCTGGTAGTGGTGGATTATGACAAATGATGACTCTCAGCCATGTTTCTATATTTTTATTACACCTGGGAAAATTCACATGGAACCTGAAAACCACTGGGTTGTAGAGGGAAATCGTCTTCCAGTCTGGTCCATGCGCCCGGTGGAACCTCTGGGTCTCGGGTCCAGTCGTACCGAACCGGCGGAAGAGTGGATCCCCGCTCCAGCCGGGCCGGTCGTTCGACCCGGTCGTTCCGGTGCCGAAGGGAGGGTGCCCTTGGTCGGCACCCAAACCGCCCTGGATGGGACGAAGCAAAGCGGTGGCATCTGGTGGCCCTTCACGTGACTCTTGGACCGACGTAGGCACTTCTCAGGGCTTTTGGTGCCAGTGCCGAAGATCCAAGAAGAGGACAAGCACGTCCCACAAGTGGGGAAGAAGCTGTGAACATGCGAAAAGGCCGTGTTCAGCCTAATTACAAACATCTCCCTCCCATCTCATCGCCTACCTCCATCCTCCACCACTCGGGCATTTCATTCAGTTTTGGTGTTTGAGGATTTCATAGCTCATCATTGCTCATTTGCTTGGGTGTTGTGTCTGCGATCTCCCCCAGGTGGCTCGCCCGAGATATCTCCCCACGTGGCTCGCGCGATCTCCGCTGAGAGAGATCGGTCCTTTGGCTTGCCCTTTGATCTGCGAGCAAGGAAGGCGGTCAAACTGGGAATGGGGTCCAACTCAGCTGTGGATGCGAGAAATTCGCAGTGCTGATGACAGGAACTCGGTCTCAGTGGTTTCTAGGAGCTCGGCACTGTTTGGGGCTCATGGTCATCCTATTTCTTCACGTGATCCTACCAATCTTGCGTGACCAACTCAATCCAAATCCTTTTTTCAAAGCTTGGCTTGAAGACCCTGAGATCTAGGGGCCCATGGGGCCCCTGGGGCCCCGATCTAGGGGCCCCAAACTTGCTGTCCCTCCCTCATCAGGTCACATTTGACTCGATGAGTCAGGGACGTGGAACGTCAGAGACATTCACAGGCCAAATCCGGGAGTTTCCATGTTGGAATGGTTCGGTCTATCTTCCGCTAGACCCAGCTGTTGTCTAGTCTAGACTTTCTGGAAGTGCTGGCTGTCTGATGTCCTGGCTTTGACCGTTCTTTTCTTAATTAGTATATACTCAAAACTCTAATTGGAGATGAGGTAGTAACATGGACATTGAGTAACAAAAGAAACATGGGTCTCTACATAGCACAAAAGAGCGTCCAACTCTGCAGAATCAACATTGAAACCCAAACCGCGGAGCCCGCGTTGCGGGCAGGTCCCTGCCCGAAAGACCGACCGGTGTTGGAGTATACCGAAAGTCCCAGCGGTCCTGTCGTACGAAACGGGTGACCCTGTTGGATGGTGACATCTTGGAGGCCATGGCTTTCAACCCAAAAATGCTCCGTGGAGGCGATGCTTCAACACAGTTCTTGAGTTGCAGGCTTCACTCAGTTTGGCTGAAATCTGCTGCTTCTTTTAGACACGATCCAGGTTGATGCACCAGGAAGAGAACAGGTGGAACCGAAGCACGTGCACTGCGGTGAGTGGAGGAACCTGCCATCACCCGCAGCACCCGTCCCGTCCCTGCTGTATTTTTTGGAGGATGGCCTCCAACCTATGACCCGCGATGGCCTCCACCCTTGCATCCCTTGGAACACGTTCGCATTCTGTGCATTCTCCAGTGATTTGAGGATTCCACTTCTTTGGCATGGCGCGGCATGACCATATCCCCGTTCCGAACTGACTGAAGAAAACAGGATTTGATATGGATTCACATAGTGGAACCCTCTATCAGGTTTTACTTGTACATCTCATTTCTATCTTGCCATCATTTGCCATAAATAACTCTAAATCATGTTTTTCATATGTCTTCCAACACGCAGATCTCGATGCATGGACGCCCATGACATGTTGAGCTCCGCCGGTGTCGGAAAGCGCCTTTTGCAGTCCGGCGATGAACTCCTCCGGCGTGACCGTTCCGCCTCGGCGGTGGCTTCGACACCCGGTGGTGTGTCGGGTGGCGGTCTGGACTCCGGATTTGGAAGAATGTTGAAATTCCCCCTGATCCAGAATGGTTTTGCATCCTTCATGTGGGTGGTTAACATGCATCACCATTGTTTAATTGCATTTTGTATATTATAGTTATATATGCGCTGGGGAGTCCACGAAAGCCCTGGGGCTGCTGCTGGGGAGGAACATTCCCCAAGAGCTTCCCCAGAGGTTCCTGTAACTGGAAGATTGGCATGACCTTGAGGTTGCAACTGCCCGCCCCATGCTGTTCAGCCCCTGCGGCTACATGTTGCTTTGGAGCAACGACATGCAACGTCTACCAGGCGATTTGAAGGATGCATTGTGCCAAACACTATGAAATTTGGGGTGCCAATGGTGTCTAACTGGGATGTCTATTCACCAACCCTGAACAAGGGTCCAAGCATCACTCCTTGTGGTGTCCTGGGGTCTCCAGTCTTTAAGGAAGGGCGTCTTCTGCATCTTCGAAGTCCAAAAGGTCAAACAGAGTCTAAACAACAAAAACAACAAACCTGGGACAGAAAATTCATATCATCACCAGCGCACCCCATCCCAAACCACATACGAAACAAAACACCCTTGTTTAGCCCATGGGCCCATGACACCCTATGTTTCATCCTTTGGATTCGCAGCTGGGCATGAATCAGGACCTACATCCTCGTGACTATTATGACTATTAACCAGGACATATACATCCTCGTGACTGATCCATGATCTCCCAAGGGGCTGTGGTTCACATCCATGATCTCAAAGAGACTCTCCGCCTCTTCGATGGTGATGCCCAGCAAGCCTCTTCGATCGTCGACACGAGTAGAGTTGACGAGGTGGACGACCGACGAGTTCGGTGTCAATACGTCCGTCGAGCTGCTGAACTGTTCGTTTCGTTTTGGAGCGAACTTCGACCTGCTGATAATCACATCTCCGATCCGAAGGTCGTGGATGACATGATTTCAAAGCTGAACACTATTGAGATCACAAGTAAGAGGAGACACGGGTCACCGCCGACTCTTCATTGACTTGTGGATCTTCCAGGATCACATCTTGGTGCTGGTGCATGGCTGATGCAAATGTCGATGTTGTACACCTTCACTTGGCTGGTGCATGGCTGTACCCCTTCATCAGCTCTACCCCTTCACGTTCAACTGACAACGTTGCAACACTTCACCAGGCCAGTCCTTCCAACTCTTCCACAGTGAAGGCGCTGCTTGTGCCCGTCGAATCACTTCGCCGCAACCGCAGAGGTTCGCCGACCGACCGGACCGTTGAGAACGACGACCGGTGGGTCGTTTTGCTGGACGCACCTGGTGGGTGCGTCCTAGCATGAGCTCATGGGTGGCCAAGAAGACCACGAAATGCGCCAGGAGAAAAAGCAGTCAGGTCGTGAATGTGAGGATGAAGCTACAAAGTTCTTAGTAGTCTCACAAGGGATGGCCTATTCAGGAAGCAAACTAGACATGTTCTTGGCGGATAGATATTGAATGAACAACTTGCCAGGAATCCTTGCAACAGTCTCATTTGCGTCGATGCTCAGTATACACTGTGTGTGTGATCAGCGCATCATACACGCAAAACTGTAAAGGGTCCGAATCTCAACATCAACAACACTGGCGGAGGAGCAAAGCCGATGACGGGAGGTACGTGCACATCTTATATGCATCAGGGCCTAGGGCAAAGTTGAAACAACATCCAGCACCTCAGCTTTGGACAGAACTCAAGCCAAAGTGCCTGATATATTTTATTTGGAGGGTCCTACATCCATCAAAACATATCCAACTAGTTATCTTTTGATATGTTCTTTCTATTTATATCTATAAAGTGACGGACACATATATGCTTAGAACCCCCGATTTCTTCCTAATAATGAAATGATGAAACTTCCACACTAAGAAATGATGAAACTTCCACACTAAGAACCCTTTGGCCCTGTGAATACATAGAACCATCCAAGTATTGCACGCCAAGAATACTCTCAACCCCTAAAAACAAAACCAGGTTCATAAGTATGAGTCCGTCACTATATAATTGCATAATATATAAATATAATGCAGGAGCTCCCATTCCTTTCACGATCTTTGTGGTTCTAAGTGCCACACTAAGAACACCCTTCCATTGCAGAACTGCTCGGGGATCTAAGTATGCCTCTCCAACTGCTGGAGGTTCTAAGTATGGTACGCTTTGAACCCTTTAGCAAAGTTTTTTCATGTTTGTGTATGTTTTGCAAAAACGGTTCTAAGTATAAGTCCGTCACTGTATATTCATTCAAATAAAAATATCTGTGTTTGGGGGATTGTACATCCATCCTCAACATGCCAACACAAACCATCCAATGCAAGAACATGTTGAAAACCACCACCTTCATCTGAGCATCTAACACCCCTTCTGAAACTGGATCTATACCCCCCTTCCTGACAAAACAACAATACGCAGTATGTCCGTATGACGGCTGTCGCAGTCGCACTGAAATCCCCGCCTAGCTTCTTGACGAGGCCCGGAATCCTTCCGCCCACCGACGCGGTGTCGTTGTGTGTGAAATGAGTGTGAACTTCTTTCGAAGGTCTTTGGGACCGTCAGGAAAACAGGACAGAAGGTCTTGTGAACTTCATTGCGAACCAGGACCGTGTTTCGCAACTTCTCAACCTCCTTCCGTTGTGGGACCCCTTACCGGACCAGACCGGACCCATGCAGCCTTGACCCTGGCGACCGACGGTGCTCGGGTTCCCGCGTGACGACCTGCAGTGGGGCATAGAACACTCATCCCGGCAACACAAAACCTACACGGTGGACATGACACATGTGTTTGCATCTTTCGTCGACACTCCCTGTTGCCGTCCTGATGATCTTCTTGAACTCCTTCTGTGACAGGTCTCCACTACCATCCTTGTCATTCGCGTGCAAGTCGTCCACCATGGATTCCAGCATATACTCGGCCAGGCTGATGGGCAACGTGAACCCAAAACGGATACAGTACAACCTTCAAGTGTTGTAGGATGTGTCACACAAACGTGACAAGGGATCCCAGGCAAACTGTAAGGAAAACATGTCTTCCGCGCTACTCCCCGATGAATCACAAGGATGCCTCCTAACAATCCAAATACAACAGCTGTCTGCTGAGTGCAAAACCTTGTAAGCAAAAACAAAAGAGTTTCATGTGTTCAAATCAATCATTTTCCGCAAGTATATTCGACGTGAGGCGCGACTCGAGGTTAATCACGGGACAAAAAGGGACATTAACCACGATACCTGTTTGCTTAACCACGACAAGGCCGACCTCAACCACGACAACAGGGCAACTTTAACCACGACAAGAGCGACCTCAACCACGACGGCAAAACAGCGCCCAAAACCGGCAAAATTGTGTGTTTTCTAAGAACGGGAAAAACACAAATTAGAAGTGTAAACCAAATTGTTTTTTCCAGGCCCGGGAAAAAACAAAATTGGAAACCTCAACCAAATTGTTTTTTCAGGCCCGCGAAGGAGCAAATTGGAAGCCTGAACCAAATTGTTTTTTACCGGCCCGGGAGAAAGCAAAATTGGAAACCTGAATCAAATTGTTTTTTTCCAGGCCCGGATAAAAACACAATTGAAGCCTGAATGAAATTGCTTTTTCCAGGCCCGGGAAAAAGCAAATTGGAAGCCTGAACCAAATTGCTCTTTCCAGGCCCGGGGAAAAACAACTTGGAAGCCTGAACCAAATTGCTTTCTCTCGGGAAAGAGAAAATTGGAAGCCTGAGCCAAATTGTTTTTTCCAGGCGCGGGAAAAGGCAAATTGGAAGCCTGAACCAAATTGCCTTTTCTAGGCCCGGGAAATGCAAATTGGAGGCTTGGAGGCCTGAACCAAATTGCTTTGCTCAGGCCCGGCAAAAAGCAAATTGGAGGCCTGAACCAAATGGCTGTTTCCCGGGCCCTGGAAAAAGCAAACTGGTGTCCACTATTCGGCTTGAGACGCTTTTCGCTACCAAAGGGAGGGAGGGAGGGAGGCAGGGAGGGAGTGAGGGAGGGAGTGGACAGAGTGAGGGAGTGAGTGGAGTGAGTGAGGGAGTGAGTAGCCGGACATGTCGATGCAACACCCGTGCTTAACCATTACCGTAAGAACCCCTTGTGTGTCCACACTGTTTGGGGAAAAATCACCTCAGCTGTCAGGTATGCAGATTTCATGTTCTCACCCTACGCTCACAAGTTAATTTGGTCTGGTCAAATCACTCCCCAGCTCTGAGGCCAAAGGTCCTGCGTTCAACTCGTCCTGTGAAGCCTCACCCCAATTGCTCTTTCCAGGCCCGGGAAAAAGCACATTGGACGCCAGAACCAAATTGCTATTCCAAGCCTGCGAAAAAGCAAATTGGAAGCCTGAACCAAATTGCTTTTTCCAGGCCCGAGAAAAGGCAAATTCGAAGCCTGAGCCAAATTGCTTTCTCCACGCCCGGGAAGAAGCAAATTGGAAGCCTGAACCAAGCAATAGTCCAGGCCCGGGAAAAATCAAATTGGATGCCTGAGCCAAGTTGCTTTTGCTAGGCCCGGCAAAAGCAAATTGGAAGCCTGAACGAAATTGCTTTTTCCAGGCCCGGGAAAAAGCAAATTGGAAGCCTAAACCAAATTGCTTTTTCCAGGCCTGGGAAAAGGCAAATTCGAAGCTTGTACCAAATTGCTTTCTCCAGGCCCGGGAAGAAGCAAATTGGAAGCCTGAACCAAATTGCTTTTTCCAGGCCCGGGAAAAAGCAAATTGCTGCTGGCTGCTGTCAGGGGTAGTGTCCGCAGGTGTCGTGGTTAGGGACTTGCAGCCGGGGTTGGTGACTTTACAGCGTGGTTATGGTACACTTAGTCGGGGTTAAGGATTGTAAAGCATGGTTAGGTACAGGTCTGTGAAGAGACCCCGCTTCACTTGGCTCAGATAACCTCCATAACGAACGTATACTGTTTGTCGCGAACCTATTATACCTTCTTCAGCTTCATTCTACACAAACCTTCGTTGTTCCAATCTTACTTTTCTTTTCCTCCTCCTTCTCCTTCCATCTGCTGGCTCTTTTGATCTCCCCAACAAATGCATTTGAGGTTCATTGAACTGCGTTCGAGGTCTATAGTGAAATCAATCAAGAAGCATGCTACCAGTACCGGTGTCGTTCAAATCGAAGGCTCTAAAAAAAACACCCTGATCCCCCTTATGAAACCTGCCCAAGTCACTGCTTCCATCCGTACTCTTGCCTGGCAATCGCGTGGATGAGCCAAGTATAACGGAAGTTGCTTCAAAAAGAACCGGTAGGTTGCAGTGCCACCCAATGGAGAAATCCCTGCAAGCACGAGAAAGCCACACTTCTGGCTGAAAGAATGGCACCCAACTGATGGGCACATAGACTATCACATAGAGTAAACTTGCACACACGAGGAACCTGCCCTGACTCGCTCAGTGTCCCCAGAAAGTAAACCCTGACCGTGCTCCACCTGCTTCATTGGAGAAACCAATCTGCAAAAAATGATAAACACGTTGCTGATCACATCTGATCACTGACTCTGTTGGCCGCGACCTTGGCCGGGACCCGCCTGTTGGGCTACACACACTCCGCTCTGCTGCCCCAGATTATAAAAAACAACACAACAAAAACACACACCATACCCAAACACTCCATGTATGCCATATATATGCTTATAAGACCCCCAAAACCACCCCAATGTAGGCATATATGGCAGTCCCATGGGTCGTGTCTGGGATAATTAACACGTTTGGACATCCGTTTACACCAAAAAGAAGGCCACTCTAGAAACCCATGGGTTTGGAGAGAAAAACAGTAGCAATGCCATCCCATGCCAGTGGGGAAACCGAAACCGTGATGAACCGTTCAAAACGCGATGAACTATGGAGATCCCTTCAGGGTCTTTAAGTATTGGATGATAAAACAATCAAAGACCGTCAAGGGTGTGTTGATTTCCTTCAGGGTGTCCCAGGTGTCTTGTAAGATTCACTCGGAGAAGAACCAGCAACTGGTCACGCAGCTGGATTTGGTCACGCAGAAATCGACAGCAAGCATGACGCGACAAAACCCATCACCATCATCACCCTTTGGACGAGTCCAACCAAGTCAAACGACGTGAAACATGTTCTCTCCATTGAAAACACACACACATAATCCATTACAAAAAAAACATATCAATTAAAACATAATCAAACATCAACAAACTGACCCAACCTCCCCAAGAAGTCAGCTGTTTTTCACCGCCCACCGTCCCGCCCTCCCGAGCCCTCGCCTGCTCCGCATGGGTCCGTCGGTCTGCGGTGATCACCGAGATCCGCTCGACCATGACCTGCGTGGCGAAAACACCCAGAGAGGACAGCCGGTACACCCGCCCCTATGTGCCCAGCGAGAAGGTACGAGGTGTGACATCGAGTGTTCAACCGAATTTGGACCTCACCAAAACAAGGGGCCCAAAGCCCTTCCAATAAGCCTCCAAAGTGGACAAAGCCGACCTTTTTTCCATACTTTTCCATCTTGTTTCACTCCTAGTTGTGGTCTCACCAGTGCCCTTCAAATCACCTGCCACGATCGCATCGGCCGAACTCGCCCACTCCATCCCAGCCCCAACATCCCCACGCCCAAAACCTACGAGTAGACACGGTGAGATCCCAGATGTGGGTGTATCTTTCATAGGGGATCCTCATCCAATGGGTTGGGCTATTGTGGATGGTTTTGGTCTATTAAGGCTTCTTCCACGGAGTCGAACTGGGAGGTCTCCCTATTTTGAACCATTTATAGCGTCCAGTTCTTGAACACCACTGCGAGGTTCGCAGATGGTCAATATCCATCCCCTGACATCAGCCGCGACCAACCGAACCGGATACTACGATCAAGCCCAGATCGCCTGGCAGCCTAGCATGGCGGAAGACTCTGTTGATGTCCAAATCAGCTGTGTCCAAAAATGAGGGGGCTCCAAATTCCAAACACATTCCCATTCAACTGCAGCTGTGTTCCAACACTTGCTAAAAATAACCATTTGCGGTTCCTCAGTCGTGATACCAGGCACCCTCCGAGTCGAATTCACCGGATTCTCTTAGCTTCCTGACAGTGAAAAACCGACCACTCCATCTGTTCGCTTGAGTGGAGAAGCCAATCCCCCAGTCAAGGCTTTAAGGTTATCCAGTGAGTGGGGGGACCAGTTGAAAAAAACTGTGGACATTAATTCTCACCGTTCTCAATTCAAAGCCCCCTTCCACGAAAACACCGGCCATCTGCTCACCGAACGGAAGGAATGTCCCTGCATTCGGAGCGGCATCCAAACATCAGACCGCGTTTCCGGACCTTCTTCCCTGATCCACGCAGGAAGACCCGGTCTTCACGCGGCATTCCTCGCCCGGTTCCTCGCCCGAAGCGGTGGGTCCGAGCCGCCGCTCCGGTCCGGGGAGCCCGACTGCCACCAAGATGTTCAGAGTGCCAAAACTCATGACCTACACGATGTCAGAGGAACAGGTTTGGGGCCGCTGGCGTGCGGTTCAAACGGATGGAAGGCTTCAGATACCCGGCGAACGAGGTACTGGAGGGTTTAAGAGGCGTCCTGAAAAACCTGTCTATAGAATGGGATGTCCAACCTTTGGATTCTATAAAACGCTAAACCACGCAAAACAATAAAAGCAAACATCAACACAAAATGTCTGGCAACTGGCCTGTGAAACGGCCAGATCAAACTGTATGGTGGATCAAAGTGGTTTGGTAATTTGTCTATGACATGACAAATCAACCGAACTCACAAATAAATAACCAGAAGAGGCTGGACAACATATTCCAACAATTCCAGCAAAACAGAAAATTCAAAGTGCAATGCAATGTTTGGAAAATTTTGGAAAAAATTTTTGGACGATCTGACTGTGTTAAGATTGGGTAAGGCCGACTGGTTTCCAGTTTCTCCAAAACGCACTGCATGATGTCGAGCTCGGAAAGTAGAAACACATACTCAGGATTACTCAGGCCTTGTAGGGCTGAATAAGCCCAAATGTTACCATCTTCTTGCCAGTCACGGCGGCAGGACGGAGCAGGTTGCAAGTCAGGGGGAGAAGAAAGAAGGAACATACACGAGGGAAAAAGGAGGAACACAATGAGTACGCGTGTGGATGTGTCTGTGCGACCGCGTTAGTATTGTTGCGCGCATGTGTGTGTGCTTGTACATGCGGGTGTGTCCGTGCGTCTGTGTGTGTGTGCGTGCGCGTCTGTGTGCGCAACTGTTGCTGACGTGTCTCTGAGCGTCACGAAATCCGCACTTCAAGGTTCACAAAGTGCTGCGCCAGCAACGATATCTGACAGCCTCCATCCACCATATTCGCTGGCTGCTGCCTGCAGCCCCCGAAGCCTGCAGGGTTCTCATAGCTAACTCCTTTCAGATCACTGTCGCACAAGTCCACAAACGCAACTGCTCAAGCCGAACCAACCGAACGTAAGCTGAGTAATTGTTTAAAACAAATCTAGCCAATGACTATGACTATCTGACTGACCTGTGTGCCAAAGTCCATGGCAACATCCTGGCTTTCAATGAAGGTAGTTGATTTTGCGCAAGCAATGCACAAGCTACATTGCTGTGCGATGAGTGCCTCTGGCATCAGCGGCAAAACAGTATTGCGAGAAGACGCCTAGGGATAAAAGCGTGCAGCGTCGACGGCGACTTCCAAAGGAGAAGCACGAGAAAGGACAAAGCAAACGCCAATGGTGTCGCAGCGTTGGAGACGAAGCACTCTTTGTGGCCAACCGCCCGGCGCCCAGAGATTGAAGCAGCACTGAGAGCGGGTCAGAGAACGAGGAAGTGAGTGGCGCGCCGTGTTCACGGTCATGCCAGGGATCACAAAGTCCACCCCAAACACAGACACGCGCACACACACAAGACTCAGCGGCACAGTGTCCAGCAAGCGCAAAGTCTAAAAGATTCGCTTGCTGGGGTTGCAACCTTTTCCCGTCCGCGGCGCTAATCTTCGTCAGAGAGCACCTGGCATTTCCGCTATAACGCCATTGTCTTGCAGTCTCCCATCAGCAGTCAGCCAGCCTCCGACTCTGAAGGCACTGTGGTGGACTAAGCAATCGTATTTCCCTTGGAGCCTCTCCTGGTGGTTCACCAGAAATTGCAAATCCCTGACGTCGTCTAGTTGTGAGGTGTCCGTGGACCGACGAAGACGGACTCACAACTGGTGACGCGAGAAGGGACGCCTTTCTTGTGTACCTGCATATGTGTGTGTGTGTTTTTTTAAACTTTTCCTGTAAAGTGCTGGTACGTTTGTTAAACAGTTCTGTTACGGACCCTTTCACCTTGCCGTTTTTGCTAGGTATTCAGTAACTAAGTCGTTTCTGCAGTAACTAGATTGTTAATGCCTAATGCAACAGCGGGCCAACTACTGAAACTTATGCTCATTCATTTGAGCTATGTATCTACTAAGTGTGTGTGTTGTGGAATACGCTCACATTATGGTTCAGTCAGGTACATTCATGGAATACATGCAAGCTAAAAACTGGGCTTGAATCAGCCATCGCTGCCCACATCAGGGCATCCCTGTTGCAGGATTGTCCCACTCAGAGACCCACCACCTTGGTTCACAAATTCTTCTCCAATTCAAATCCGATGCTTGGAGATTCAAAGCTTGGTTTGTTCCACCAGTCGAATTAAAGGCATCTCAAGGAATCTCAACACTCAAAGAAGATCCTCCAATCATGTTTGCACAGGCTCCCAGTGGGTGAACCCAAGTGCTCCCTCTTTTCGGAACCAGGGTCTTTGGACCCAATCGTTACGTACAGTGGTGGCTGGATCTGCAGGTAGGTTTAAGAACTCATCGAACCCGTCGTTTCATCTTTAACAACTGGAAGCTCGTCCATCATCCCGGAAACCTCGCCCAGTCACGAAACCTCGCCCGCGCCAGGGAAACATACTGCCCTCAGACTCACTTCAGCCCGGCTCCACGACCAGCGCAAGGATTTCACCGGCTGGGCCCTCCGAGCAAAGATGCAAACGAAAAGCACCGGAGTCGCCATCGGAGCCACCTCGTGGAGTCCGTGGAGAGGGGGTGGATCCGGGTGCTCGGTGAGCAAGGTGTTGCTTTCTCCAAAGACAGGGATCCGGGACAAAGGGATTCTGCGACTCTGGCCTCGATAAGGAACGAAGGGAGAGAACAGGACGAGAACATGCAACTGCGAACGAGAGGCTTGCTTCTTTTAGTGCGTCTTCCTGCCAACTGTTGTTCACCCAATCTCCTTCCCCCCTAAATAGATGTCATGTCATCCGTTTTCCTGGGTAGATGATGGTCCCATTCACCTTTGTCGACCAGACCCGCAGGGGTCTTCCTGGGTTTCCAAACCAATGAACCCACGCTATCCCACGCAGACTGAGCACAAACTCAGTGCGGGACGTGGAAGAGCGGCCTAGCCACGCTCTCCGCCCACTTGTCGAAGGTGGCCACCTCCCCCAGCGGCCCCGCGGCCCCCCGCGAGACGGGATACCGAAGGGGGCGAGGATCTAAGAATCTGGGCAACCCTCAGCATCTGGGTTAAACACTATTTCACCCCCGGATAGGAAGGGGATGTTCAATCCAATTGGGGTGGGTGTCTGGTCTTATGGTGGGTTTATGATGTTTATGTCTAAACTCATCTAGACTCACCATTACCCGGCAGGGACCTTGAAGTCTTTTTACATCTGGGACTACATCTGGGACATTCTAGGAGTCTCCCGGAGGAGGTCCTGTCCTACCACTCGCTTTCGTGAGAAGTTCTTGTACATGTCGAACCATCAACATCATCCAACAAACAAGAGGGAGAGGGAACCATCACCATCCCAAGCTCAAGGATCAAAAGCAAATAAAAGCAAAAGATCACACCGGGAGCGTTTCCGGTTTGCTGAATGAAGCTGACTCGCCTCACCCCTCGCAGCTATCAACTCATTGCGTCGCATCCCATCACAGGGGCGTCACGAGTCTCACTTGATCGTCCATGGCGTGGCATGGTTTGCCGAAATGTACAGGTCAAATCCCAGAAGGTGTTAAATCAGAACTCAAAGCTCTGTGAACAGGCCAAAAAAAAGCCACCTAGGAGTGAACAGCTTTGTTACCCTATGAGCCATGGTAGTGGCAACAGGAGAAACTCATGAAGGCTAAATGGAGGGTGTGGAGAAAGGGGTTCAGGATTTTTTTAATACAAAGTTAGTGCATCAAAAATACCTTCCACGAAGTTGCGAAGGTTTCTGTTTCTTGTTGCAGTCAGTTTTCCTACTGGCCCACCATTCCACGGAACGTCCGAATAGCCCCGGATTCCACGAATGTCCCGGGCTCTTTCTGTGCACTACCCTGTGTGCAATAAGGTGCCTTTTTCAGTTTCTGGCAAATCTTGAGGAAAGCAAACGCTTTAGGCAAACCAAATGCGAGTAAAAACACCGCCATCTGCTATTTGGTGCGGAATCAGCCTATCGAAGCATGTCCAATCAATTCCTGATTGAGGGTTGGTGGTCAATGCGTGACTGAGCAAAATCAACACCAGTGGTGTGTGCACTGCGGTCATGTTCTACTCCCCTTTTGCTGTTGCAAAATGACCTCCGAAACACATGAGTATAGTGTGTGAGCGACCAAAACACATGAACGTTGATTAAGCACCTAGTAGCTCCAGTCCTTCATGGTGGAATGTGGTTCCAAACTGTCCTGCCTTTTCTTAGTTGCTGAAGGCGTTGAAAAGTTGAATGTATTTTTGAAGGCAAGATTTAGCTCTCTCTCAGGCATCTTCATCCTATTCGTTCTCATCTGCTTGATTACCCATCTCCTCGTCTTGTTAAAGGCCAAGTTGAGTCTTCAACCTTCTCGGGTCGCTCAATAGTTAATAGTTCTCCACCTCATCTTGCTCTGGTCCCTCTGACGTTCACCGATTTCATGAGCAACCGGCATCCTCTACCCCTGTTCCGGGCATCGAAGAGGGGTACATCACCGGCCCAGCGCCGCCAACCGACGCCCCCCCCAAACCAACCGCCCCAGCGACTGGGCCCGGCGGGAGTCGTCTCGTTCGGTCGCTCGTTCGGTCGCACCGGCGGTCGCCTGGAGCATGGTGAACATCGAACGGAGCACCGAGCCCACATACATATGGCCTCAGCGCTCTGGCGTCATCAGCAGCGAGTCGGTCAAACATGAGGGAGCCCAGGTGTTGAAAACGGGTTAATCAACCAAGGAGCCAGGTCCGTAGGTGAACAGACTAGGGCAAACAATTCTATTCAGGTTTTGCTTGTTGTTTCAAATTCACGGTTTCTTGATGTGTCTCTATAGGGCAAAGTTTTGGACGTTGACATTCAATTCTTATTTCTGTTTGAAGCATCGCAGGAGTACAGCCTCAGACATCCCCAATTCATACCCAGGGACAACCAATGTCGTCATCCAAGCAACAAAAACACTGTCGTCACGGTAGAATCTCTCTACCGCTCGCCGTGGCCTCCGCTCGCTGCGTTTGAATTACATGGCTACCCTCGACAATCCCAAATTCTGGGTGCAAGAGAACTCACCAAACATGGCAAGTAGCCGCTACGCCACAGTGGCCAATCTCCCCATCTGACACAGATCCCACCCACTTCATGTCCACCTCTGCGTCCGGTGTCCAGCTGCGCTCTCCGTCCGTCCGGCCCGTTTCCGGTGGTGTCCAGCGCCGGTCCCGACGGTCCCTCCGCGATGAACCCATCAGCTCCGAGCGGCCCATGTACCAATGCTCGAAGGCGAAACGATCTTGCCCCCCCTGCAGCGGTGGGAAGGCGACGGAGAAGGCGACGGAGGGAACAAGGAGAACGAAACAGCTTGGGTGATTTCCAGCGTGGGGAGGTTTGGGGTGTTTTTTCATTGGATTGGATGATTGATGATGATTGTACATATTGATTTTAAAGGTTCGAACAAATATATGGAAGAGTGTCGTATTTCTGATTCAGATTATTCAATTTTGAGGATGACTTCGCAAATCAATAGCATGATATGTCTGAAAACGAGGAAAACACAAACCGACGGGTTGCAGCCAAGGTTCTCCTTTACCAACTGATTGTGGGAATCTGAACAAACATTTATAGATCATTTAGTTGAACCCGTGTTTCGAAACAACATGAACTGGTCCCTACGTCTGGGATTGTTTCCTATCAATTGTTGTTGTACCTGCATGCAAATTGTTTATCATGCGCATCACCAAACACGAGATAACAACAAACATGAACCTTTACATGTTTTTGCGCCTGGTCCCGGAGACCCCGCCCCTTGGGGCGGGGATAGTTGAGCCCCCATGCCGCAGCCAAGTCGCAAGGACGCACACGGCCGCGCCGAAGCAAAACAGGAAGATCGCCATCTCAGCGAGTGGGTCCGCTGGCGTCGCGGTAGCGGCGTCTTTCACGTCCAATGTTCGACATGGAACAGCTTGAAAACCGTTTTTCCCGAGAAACCCAGGTGATGAGGCTAATGGTCATTGCTATTCGGTGCCATATTTGGGGTCCGGATCCGCTGGCTGATTCTTTCGTGAATGGGCAGCCCGTGGCATACATACACAATAAGAAATGGGCCCCAGTTCCATTCCGTGCTCAAATGAAGCTGATGTGGACTTCAGCTAAATTCAATCCTCGCACGAAGTGAACTTTGGTACTGTCACTAGGGGCGGGTCTTGCAGGGCGCGTGAGACTGTTGAGGAAACAATGCCCAAAACATCAATGTCCGCCGAATTTTCCCGCAGTTCCAAACTGCAAACATTGCAGATTGGATTTGTTTTCGGGGGTATCTTGTCAACTTGTTCATGACCTTGAACGGTTTTTCCTCACATGCTAATTCGTGTGTGGTTGATCCCTACCCTTTGCTCAAGGGGATCAAAAATTGTATGTTACATTTTCTTGTTACATGCCACAAATTATATTTTCAGGCTCCAAATACAACTTGTCCAGCAGGGCTGCATCTTCTGGTAGATCTCCTCCACTAACCTCCCGCACACAGCCCCACCTTCTCAAGCTTGTATAGATCTTGCTTTGAGAACGAGGTGACGAGCAAGGATGACTTGGGCATGTTTTGCCTCAGAATCTGCAGTGCACGCGCTCGAGCGACCATGCGGGATGTGCAATTCTTCGCTGCCTGGTCGGCTTTCTCCAACATGTTCTTCACAAACTCGAAGAAATCCATGCGATCAAGGTCACTCTGGAACCTGATCGGACCATCTGCTAGTCCTACTTGGGCGTACTCACCGATCCTGGCTGAAGGACCAGCACTCTTCCGAGGAAAGATGGTGATAAATCACTGGCAGTAGAGCTTCTTGTCGGCCCCATTGAGTCGAGCCTCTCGAAGAAGAATCTCCTTGGATCGTCATCTTGAAGACACATAGAAGGAAGAGAGCTGATCTCGTCTTTATTGCCTGTCAAGAAGTATCTATTCCACCAAAAACCTTCCGGTTCCATGCCCAAGGACATGAGAACAAGATCCAGGGATGCCAGGTCTGCGGGCGTGGGCTTCAGAACTCCTGCCACGCCTTGTCCAACATGATTCTCCAGTTGACAATCTGGGCCCAAGCTAGTCAGGTGATCAACATCACGAGCTTTTTCACGGATAGGTCGGCCAGGGTGACTCTGCTCAACAACAAGTGGTCGCTTCAAATTTGTCCCTGGACTACCACTCAATGCCCAATAGTTCTTCATACTTTGTAGCACACCCGGATGTGAGCCCATTGCCACTGAGAAAGCCAAAAAGAGACCGGATCTTTTTGGAGATATTGAGACACTCGGCTTGTAATTTAGGTTGAGCCTCCGTGGGAGTTCAGGATCGTTCACTGTGTCCTTCAACCAAACTCCAAAGACTCCTTTGTACTTGGCTTCAGCACCCTGAGCTTCTGCCAAGAATATTCCTGACTGAAGAAGATCTTGAAGCATTGGTGTCAATTGCTGGTTCAATGAATCTATCTTGGGACTGGGTGGCTCCATGGACAATTCAGGTGGCATCTCAGGGCTGAAGGGAAACGTCATGTGAAGTCGACTCTGGATCGATCTGACAATAGATCCAAAATCTTTCAGAAGCATGGCGTAATGCAACCTGTTCTTTTTGTCCTTCTTCTTCGCCATGTTCTCCATATAGGAATCCTCAGACTTGTGAGCACCATCCGGGCTCGTTCTCCTTCATCACTGAATTCGAACCCCTTTTCCACCAGATCAACCATCTCCTCTCTACTGATCTTCAAGTCACCATAAGCTGCTTCGAGCTCAGCTGGGGTTGCTTCTGCTTCAGTGAGTGTCTGTGTCCGGAATGAACGGAAGCCACTTAAAGAGAGGGTGGTTCCTCACACTCGCCGAGAGTACGGATCCAAGAGGTTGTATAATCATAAGCTATCAGGCTCCTCCTCCTCGTAGTAAGAGAGATCCTCTTCAAGAGTACTCTCATGTCCCCTTTTTGATCCTTCGGGCCTGCTCTCCAATACGCTGCTCTGGCCGACACTCCGCACTCGTGGTGAATCACGTCCTGCCTGTAAGGGCTCCATGGGTCCTTGTGCTCGTGGCGTGTTGGAGGTTTCCTCTTGCTTTGCTTTCCTCTCAGCAACACCAACTTCCGTGAATGCCATAGCCAAATCGCTAATACTCCTTTTGTTTGCACTTGATGATGCGAGTGACTGATGCTTGGATGTTCTCTCAAACAAGGAAGGAGAGAGCTGCGTCATTTGTCCTGACGCCAGGCCGGTTGATTCTTGGCCTTCTGTCACCGTTTGATATGTGGTCTCCTCTTCTAGCTCCACCTCCTTACTGCTTCCGAAGCCCAATTAAAATAGTTCGTAGGCTGCTTCATTACTCCAGCTCTGCTCTGATGTACTTTTGCTTCATGATCTGCAACAGGAGCTGGAACCAAACTCTTGAGAGGCGGCGGATTGTGCAGCAACTCATCCACATTCATCTTTGCCGGGATCTTGGTGTCCTCCTCCTTGGTCATGAATTGTCTCAAGGACGATTGTGGATGTCCTCCATGAATTCCAGGCTCGTACGTCACTCCATGAGCTACCTTCCCTTGCTTGAAAGCCTGAATTGTTTCGGCCTTCCTTTCTCTCATTTCCTGGAACAGCCTGGTGTGTATTGGAATCTCTGCTGACCTTGATTCCGGTGGTAGATCCGACTCCGGGATCACACTCACGATGGGATCTTCGCTCGTAACTCTCTTGATCTGCTCCAAAACGCTCTTCAGAGCTATCTCGGCCTTGACCTCTTCAGTGGTATAGGTAAGGACTGTGGGGTCTCCCAGCGAAGTCATATGCACCAGTTCCTTTTGTTCCGATGATAGCTCCTTTTGCACGGGCTGGAAAAGTGATGCTCGCGTGAGCCCTTGGCTCTTGCTTCTGAATTCCTCTTGGACCTGAGGAGCCAGGACTCATGGCAAAGCAGCTCGATGGAAGGGCGCTCTCAGAGCTGGGACTGGGTCCCTTCCGCGCACCAGCCAATACCCACAGCAAAGCTTTTGTTTCCGGGGAGCCCGGAATACTGCTGTTCATAGATGGGAAGCAGTGATTCCCCTGGAGTCCCAAAATGGATGGTATCTGGCTCTCAGTCTCAATTGATATACTCTCTGTGATCTCTCTCATTGCCTTGTTCAGCTTGTCGAAAATGCTTTGGCTCCGGAAGTATCGCGCTCCAGCTTTCCTGTCCTTCAGATGACTCAGATGGATTGACATGGAACACATGTGTCTTCATGAACAGCTCCGCAATGAGTCCCTGGTTGCCCGGTGGGGCCAGCGAAGTAGCCAATGTCCTCATTTGTGATAAGGTTTTCACATAAAGGTCCCCTTTGGCAACGTGTATGCGCTGCCCTTCCAGGAGTCCCAAAACCTCTTTCAGCTGTGAGTTAGACTCACATGCTGTCAAGTCGACTGTCAAACGTCCGTTGCAAACCATTGTCATTGTCTTGATCCGAATTGGGCTGCAAGGAAGATTACACAGATGCTTTCATAAATTAGCAAATGCTTCAATATGCCTTATTTTACTCTTAAAAGAACTGACCACCTCACTTATCATCAACTGTTGAATCTGAGAAGCGCACTAGTACGTAGATGGTCGGAGTCTTGGAAGAGCTCTCATAGACAACGGAGGGGGACACACTCTGACATTGGTTTGCTGTTAACTCAATTCCCACGTCGAGAAGAAAGGTGAGGTAACGGAAAGGTGCATGAGTCCGCAAAACTGTATTGTTGAACATCATGTTGAAAGGCACTCGCAAGCGGTCAGCGCGCGGCAGCTGAAAGCGGCTGAGGGAAAAGTTTTGGGGTCTGTCGTGAGAACCACCATGAAACACAGCGAGGAAGAGTGGAGTGACAGCTTGAAAAACAGTTCAGCAGGTACACGGAGGTGATCAATCTCCGCATCCCCCATCGTGGAACAGCTTCGTTGGCACAGGTATCCACGATGGGCCTGTGCCCCCTGCTTGGAAACATCGGAACCCTTAGGTACAGGGGTTGACACACACACGGTGCCGCTTTGCGGCGCTCGTGCGAACGACCTGAATAGGCACCTAAAAATCCTTAGAAACAAAAGAAAGAAACACAGAAAGAGCAGCGCTAAGAGGGCAAGAGAAAGATAGGTGTAGAAAAAAGGTGAATACTTAGCCCTTGACTGGGGCAGGGAAACGAGCCTCAAGAACAACCTAAAAAGCCTGAGAGAAAGCCCAAGAAACGACCGAAAGCGTAAGAAAGAAAGGGGGGGGAGGGAGGGGG